ATTAAACTTATACAACGTATAGAATAATATTTTACGTATATTCAGTCATCATTAAAATTATTTAAAAAAGGAAGAATTTGTATTATCAGATTGTGCATTATGATCAGGCTGTAATGGTGGTGTAGATTCCATTGATGATACACTTGAGGATTCATAGTGGACTTGACGAGTGTGTGGCAAAGTGTATTATGCATAATTTTTTTAACAGCTAATTTAGTTTTTCTTTGTCTTGGCCAACTACGATTCGAGATTGGCGTATATCGTTCACTGTCAAGAATGGTTCAGGGTCGGTGTGTCTTGCTCGCTCTCAGAACGATTCGGGGTTGTTGTGTCTCGCCCGTTGCTCGTTGAACCTATGCTGGCGGTTGATTGCTCCTGTAGAATAGAAAAAAATATTATGTTCCTAAAACTATGACTAATGATGTACTTATTTTGTTACAGTTTCCAAAAACAGAACAGGATTGGAGAAGAATAGCGAGAGAATTTCAGCACAAGTGGAACTTTCCTCACTGTTTAGGTGCCATTGATGTTGAGCACGTTGAAATCGTGCCTCCATGTAACAGTGGCTCGTTTTTGTATAACTATAAACATAGACACAATATGATATTGATGGCAATATTTGATGCAAAACACAAATTCCTTTTAGTTGATTTTGGAACAAATGGAAGGGTTTCCGATGGTGGAGTATTCTTGAATACGAAATTTTATGAAAAGCTTGAAAGAAAGACGTTAAATATTCTTACAGTAGAAATGTAGGCTAATAGTCCACGAATACTGCCGTATGTATTTGTAGCTGATGTCGCGTTTCCTCTAAGAAAGGACATGATGAAACTATTTCGGCAAAATGACTTAGACAATAGAATTAAGAATACATTATATAAATATATAATTATCGGATATCACGAGCACGCCGCATAGTCGAAAACACATTTGGCATAGCTCTAACGGTGAGATTCAAAATATACAGAAATCCAATGAACCTGTCACCTGAAAATATTGGGTCAGTCGTAATAGCAACCTGTGCCTTGCATATTTATTTGATGTCATCATCGCTTAATTCATATGCTCCTGCAGAATGTTTCGATAGAGAAAATTTGTAAGAGGGTACGATAACGTCAGGACTCTCGGCCCATGATCACATACGGCACTCTGGTATGGTGGACCAAGACAAATGAAGTCACCACTATAAAGAAGCTTCAGCGCTACTAGAGACTGGCATGTATGGCTGCCACAGGCTGCATAAGGACTACGCCAACAGCAGCCTTAGAAGCGATGCTGGAGCTAACCCCGCTTCATCTAAATATACAACAAGAAGCGACTTTAGCTGCCATCAGACTCAAGGCCCTAAATCTTTGGAGTAATAATAGTGTCCCTTATACAGGCATAATTAATAGAATTCACTTAAAAATTCCTGTCTTACAAGCCAAGTACGATAAGATTCCTGAACAATTTGTTTTCGATAAGAAGTACAAGATACAATTAAGTGAAACCAGTCAGCCGGAAGGTTTAACCCCAAAAGAGCTTAGAGTTTTCACCGATGGTTCTAAAACAAATGAAGGTGTAGGTTCTGGAACTTTCTCTGAAGACCTCAATATCCACTTATGCACACCGCTGGGTACCTATAACACAGTCTTTCAGGCGGAATGTATGAGTATCATTCAAGCGGCCATAGCAATAGATGCTAGGAAGGTTAATGACTTCCCCATCAGAATACTGACCGACAGTAGGGCGGTACTACAAGCTCTGAGATGCAATGTGGTGAACTCGGGACTAATATATGAAGCCATCAACGATTAAATGAGGTATGTAAAAACAACAATGTGACTGCAATGGATAAAGAGACACAGTGGATCCAGAGGCAACGATGCAGCAGACGAACTGACCAGAAGAGGATCGGCTCTGGCCACTATAGGGCTGGAACCAATCATACCAATCCCCTTTGGCAATGTTCGTTCACTGGTACGTAGACATTTCACTAATCAACACGCTCAGCTTTGGAAAAATCTAGTAGAATGTAGACAAGCTAGGGAGGCATTGCCTGAAATAAACAGTCGTTTAACCAACGTTCTAATGAGACTGAACAAGCCGCAGATCAGGATACTAACAAGTGCTATCATAGGACACGGCACCTTCAACAATCATTTATTTACTATAGGTGTTACAGATATTCCTCTGTGCAGGGCATATATGGGGGAGGAAGAAACGGTGGCCCACGTGCTACTGAAATGTCCGGAGGTCGCTACGCACAGGGCTACACATCTTGGCACGCCGGGATCACTCCCCGAAGTTGCATGCAACATCAAAGGACTGTAGAGCTTCTAAGGGGAGATATCATGGCTAGAATAATCACATTATTCCTGCCCACACGCAAAATACGCGCATAGACGTGGAGTTGCGGAAAACAGCCCGTCGTAAACTAAACTAAACTAACGTCAGGACTTCCTACAAGAGAGTCAACCCTTGAACCAAGATGTGAATTTATGAGGTATTTTGTAAATAAAGAAAAAGTTTCTTGGCAAGACAGTTTCATTCATTAAATAATTACTATTAAATAATTATTAAATAATTACTACCCATTAATTCTTTAATTACCTTGTATTTGAGTATATTAACATGTAAGAGGCCATTCATTAATTACGTAAAACGTCATTTTAAATGTTACAAATAATAATTATAAGACATTATTCCCGCGTATTAATCTTATTTTAATAATTATTTGGAATATAAAAAAAAATCTTCTTTTAATTTCAAGCAATAATAGCATTGAATGACTAAATTTTTTATTCAATAATAATTCCGATCACAATAGCATTTTACTCAAACTAACATTATTTCAAAATCATCCTTACGTAATTCTTGAATGGTCCCTAATATCATAAAAAATCACACCTATTTGTATAATAATATACCTATTTGTATTACAAAGCAATAAATAATTTCTAAGAATTAAAACCTTACCTCATTTTCGTCCTCATCTATGTTCGATATCGATAGTCTCGGTACTTCTTGGTCGTATAAAAAACTTAGCATCTCGTAGTACCTATAAGCGAGGAGTATAAATGTCGTCAGTTCCTGCTCCAGATTTACACTACTTTTTTATTTTATTTAGTTCTTTTTTGTGTGAAGTCCACTATATCCCTGTTGGCATTTGGATCCATGGCTTTGTATTTTTCGACCAGCCTGTTATAGGCAGCATTTTTTTTGTTCCGATCGTGGTATTCCTTTGATGTCGTTTTACAAGGCCAAGTTTCGCTTTTGTAGCTTTCTATAAACTCTTCTAGTTGTTCGCGGTGTCCACCTCTTTCCTCTTCTGACAGTTTGCAAGAGTGCTATCCGCGCGTGCGTACACAAGTGAACTCCGCGTTCCTATATATATAAAAGTACTCTGTGACTCCGCGACAAACTGCCGAACTGAGCGGCCGCCATCCACACGCGACGATAAAACTGTGCAAACGCAATCGACAAAGATTTATCTGATAGAAATTGCAATTGCCGCCGATGATCCTACATACCGATGTCCTACGTGGTAGAGCCATGCTGCAGCTATATTATGGTTGTAGCACGAATGGGTCGGCTCGACCGGGGAAGGACCATGCTCTCACAGAAAACCAGCGTAAAATAGCAGCTTAACGCTGCTGTGTCTCGTATGGTGAGTGTAGAGAACCGGAGACCCTTTTTACTGGCAAAGAGGCATTCCATCTTAGTCCTCACGGGTGACAATGCATCTGCATCTTGAGTCTTTATTGAGGATAGATGTAGATGTCAATGGGTCACAGTAACCACTTACCATCAGCTGGATTGTGTGCTCGTTTGTCACCCGATCCTATATAAAAATAAATGAACGATAATCTGCAACGATTTGTCATACATACGATCGATAAATCTGCACAAATCGTTTTGCACAGTTTTACCGCTACGATACATCGTTAAGCCGGCGCCAGATACAGCTTTAAACATTTGAACACTAGTTTGAAGCTATGTGTAGCACGGGACTTTGAATCAATGTTAAAATAAGTGCGCAAAGAAATGCACTTTGCCAAGCGCTTTCGGTTTTTTAGCGCACTTCAAAGCGTTCAAAGTCGACAGTGTTCAAATCTTTGCGTAACCTGCCACACTTGCGCAAAGTTCATTCTCGCGAGCGTTGTCCAGCGGGAGGGTCATGCGCAGTATGTTTCAAAAATAGGTCCAATCATAAAGACAGTAAAAAACAATCGAATTAATATTATTTGTATGGTCAGTTGTTATCTGAAAAGATAAAGCCCTTGGATGAAGATGACAGACTAGTACTTATGAATGAAATAGATAATATTGTATTTAAATATTTTATTATATTGTATTTTATCGTATTATTTTTGTACATGTAATAAATAATGACACGCACTTAAATAATACAGGCACGCTGCATCCACAAACTCGTCGTCCATCTTGTTTGTCATTTATCAACGTACTGTGGAGATATGTGTTTGCAAAGCATGTCTGGCAGGTTGCGTAATATATAGTGTATATCTATGGGTTGCGCCAATAAGTGTTCAAACAAGTGTGCAAAGTCCTTCAAATAAGTGTTCATATGTTGTTGCTATATCTGGCGCCGGCCTTACGTGTGTAACGGGCATTACATAGAGTGCATAGAGTAGAGTAATATATACGGAATGACTTCTTATTACTTTGTGATCTATGTATGTCGTTGACATAATTGACATTTGATTATACAACCTTATTGTGTATTGTGTTGTTATTACATACGATTGTTGTTGACTGTTGGCGTCTCATATACAGTTATTCATTTCAAGTTAGATGATACTCGAAATAACTAGTAAACTACAAGTAACTATTTGTGATTTATTGTGAAGGGAATCGGCTTACGAGATTTTTATGAATTTAGTGTTTGAAGGTGAAAGTTCAGCTTTTTTTAAGAAATATTACTGTGATCGAAAACTTTAATACCATAGGCAGTATACTTATTTTTATTTTATTACAGATATACCTACGCAGCTTGCAGAATGTCGGTCACGTATTACGACTATTATGATGGCAGTAAAATTTTCGTCTTCCTATCTAATAGAATTGGTCTTCCGATAGATCTGGTATGTATATATTTTCTAAGATCTCTAGAAAATTATTTCAGTTGTATTTTGTGCTCTAGTTGTTTTGCAAAATAATTTAAAATTAAAGTGCTTGTTTCATCACAGGAGATTAAATCCATAGGTTTAATGATAATATATTCAATACAGTGTTTCCACTTTCAGGTTTCAATTTAAATCAAGACTGTTTTAAAATTGCTCTTATATATATCAAATTAGTACCCGAAATCATTGTTTTATGCCATAGGCATTTCAATGATACAAAACTTATATGGTTTTGAATTTTAGCTATAGGATCAAGCTCTGCCCTCGAAACAGGTTAATGCTTAGTTGAGGTAGGGAAGTTTAACAGACATATTTTTAGCTCCCACAGTGAAACAAAATGGCTAGTTTAAGGTGGTGGGTCACTAAACTTGATATGGCTGTTCTGCATAGGATTGGTAAACTTAATAAGAAGTTTAGATATTAAAATGCACTACCCGCCTTATTCTCCATGTCCCTAATTATATCATGATAATAAAGTTTATGATATGTGATGTTGCTTACTATATATATATATATATATATATATATATATATATATATATATATATATATATATACTATTATAACCATATTTATTTGGTTAATATGAATTTGTATGTTGTTTTCAAATGACTGTTTTTGTATAAAAGAGATACACCCCATATGAGCCTCCTGATTAATGGTTAATTCTAGTTTAGGGATAGAGATCAATTAATCGAAGAATCGATTTTTCAGGACCAAAAGATAGATTTTTTAAATTGATATGCAGTATTGTATCAAACCAGTGAATTGATATTTCAGTATAGGCGTTTCGTTTATTGTGTAGTGGTAAGCTCATTAGCACCGACCCCTGTAAATCCCTTTCACACACCCCCTCCATCGTCTTTAGGAGAAAGGATGTGAGGCTAATGGGTCTATTGGATTTTGAGTCCGTATAGTTGCTCTTACCTGGTTTGGGTATGAACATAACTATCACTTTCATCCATCCCCTAGCAACATATCTGAAAGCCAGACAAGCTCTCATTATGGCAACAAGTCTGATTATTAGGCCTTTACCTCCCTACTGTAGAAGTGCCGGGAAAATGCCGTCAGGTCCTGCCGCCGTATAGGGAAGCAAACTGAATGGCCCAATGGATTTTATCCACTATTACCACTCTCTGTGCTAAATTCCAGTCTTCGGTTGTTGGTATCACTGTAACTTCATGCTGGTTCAACCCCTGAGTTACACAGCAACCTGGGAAGTGTGTTTCAATTAGGATGTGTTGGGTTTCAATTTGCGATGTTGAGTAGTTGCTATCGGGTTTCTTGATGGTTCTGGTGTGTCCTGTTTACCTAGGACTTTTTTTATTTTTGTAACCAGTTTTCATCCATTGAGGTATTCATAGCCCTATTTATGGCTTTTTTTACATTCTTGCGTTTACTATCTAGGTATTTACCCACACCGCGGTTGCTTTACATCAGCAAACCTTGGTGGAGTGATTACTGGACATGCTTCCTCGTAGCTGTCTATCATGGCTCTAGTAGCAGCTAATACCTGTTCTTCTAGGAGCGACGGATCTGTTATAGTGTTTATCCCCTCAAAACCCGTGAGCGAAGACATTAGCTTATTAAGGTACTTTGTTTTGTCAGTCTTGCGGGGGTTTCTCCATGGTGGTGTAGCGGGTATATCAACCTGTAGTACAAAGCAGATCCGATAGGTCTGAACGTAAAGCTTCTCTCGACACACGCTATCCCGTGATTAGTTTAGCTGCTCCTTTTGTTGTAAGTGTGAAGTCGATTATTGTGCGATTATGTTTGTCTATGAAAGTTGGCTCAGAACCTGTTTAAAATGGTTAGGTTAGTGCTAAAGAGATATTCAATTAATACCTTACCTCTTTCGTTGGGTTTTTCCATTCCCCAGAGAGGATGATCTCGTTGGTGTCCGTCCCGATCTCAACTTCTTGTCCAGTCCTCTCGCAGATATTCACCAGCCCGATGAGGTCATGAGGGGGAGGTGTGTCTTCCTCCAATATTTAAACCGAGGCAACAACTAATCTTCTCCCTTGCGTATGTTGTTATTGTGTACATTTGTTAATGGTTGTGCACAGATCTCTTTAGTAGTATAAATAAACGCCCTAGGCTTGTGCTCAGAGTTGTAGAATGACTTACCTTTTAGGATGTCTAGGCCTTTGATTTTATTAGCCGCAACCCACGGCTCCTGGATTAAGGCTACGGTCGTCCTTTGCACTTGCGTAAATGAGCTGACGCAGTTTCGCTATCGTGGAGGTTGGCCTGCACTAGGCTAGTTCTGGACGAAGGGCACGCCAAAATTGATCGCGTCCTCTTCGTCCCCGCTCAAAAATAAGCCTGCCAGCAGATCCCGGGTCTCATCGTCAGCCACCGAGTCGGAATTGGATGTCGAAATGCAGTCCTCTTTGTCACTTAGTGAGCTGCAGCTGAGCCCGATCTCTACTGGTGGCTCTGGCTCAGTTGTGCAGGCCGTTTTGTCACTGGACTTGGCATCCAGTGATTCCGCTGTACCAGTAACTATGGCCCCGGTATCCATGATTTCCGGGTTGTTTTCTGCCTCTTTGCTTGGTGGAGTGTCGAAAAATGTACCTTACACCACACCCTAGAATATCACGTAGGTCACCCCACTTGGACATGCGAGACGACGTACGGCTTTCATCAGGGTTGGGATATGATCTTCCGGCACCGAAACAACGAGGAACCACCCGTCCGTCTGTTTATCAGCCTTGAGTAGCTGCCAATCCTTGATGTTTACCCATCGGTTCTGGTACGCCAGCACACGACCGATGTCGTGTGAGTCTTTCCAGGCTCCCTGGGCATCAGGGATAAGGACACTACATTTGATTCTCTGTGGTATCTCTGACTGTTTCTTGATGATCAGAGAGGTGTTGGATTTAAGGTCGAGGGTATCAATCTTCCACTTCAACCAATCCAGAGCCTTCTGATCGCCGCACCACAGTTTCAGGACAACCTTCGTGTAAACGGGTTTGCCTCTAAAAACTGGACAGACGCATTAGAGTCCTGGCTACTCCAGGCCTTGCTGATCATCTTCATCTGTATTGATGTCATCAGCTAGTTCCTTCGTTATGTGACCTGAACGCGCACACATTAAGGCCACACCCAAATCTACTTTGGCAGCAGAAGCGTAACCGGTTCTTGCAGCCTTTGGTTGCTGTTCGAGTCGCACCCTCCACCTCTATGGAGCCCGCACCTTTGGAAACGCCCTATTTTAAAACAAAAATAATTTCAGGCGTTAGGATTACCGAGGGAATATAGGGACGCGAAGTTGGCTCACAGCGCGACATCGGGAGCTCGATCCAACTGACAGATAGGGTTGAAAAGCCCCATCCCCACTGCCCGAATAGACTGTCACTTGCTCCGTCAGCATGGCCTTTTCCACCACTTAGGCCTTTTCAGGAAAACTAGGTAGCCACCAGGTCCCTCGCCTGTGACCCTCTGATGGGGCGCTTGGCCATTTCCCTATCTGTAGTTAGCGGATAGCGTTACCGTTTAGCTTGAAATCCGAACCAAAGATAGCGTGTTCAACACGCTTTCTTTGGTTCGGATTCTGGTTCGGACGAGAGGCAACACGCTGTGTTGCCTCTCGTCACTATATACCCCAGTGACGATCGACTTCACCCTCCAGAACTCCTTCATACGTGCGTACGACGCTCGACTGCGCAGGTCCTAGCGCAGGTGGTTGTGTTAGTCTACCGGATACACCCACTCTCTCCGACGGAACCAACCCTACTCTTTTATCCGGGTTTGGGACCGGCTGCACCAAAAAGTACAGGCAGAGTTATATAAATAAAAATAAAAGTAGGTGGAAGTTAGGAAAATTCGAGGGTATAATATAAATTCCACCATACGTGACGAGATTTTCTTGCCCTTAAAATCTTCTCAAAAATTAGGGAAGGCCTATGATTAGCCCCGTTGGATGTTAATAGGTCGTCACTTTACTGTTTTTCAAACCCCACAAACATTTTCGACAGCGAACTTCATCTATCGAAAGTTGATTTCATTTTTCTCGCCTAATTATATTAGTGGCGTGTTCGACTTCTGCATTGTCATCGTTACCAGGTAGTTGAGTCGAAGCGCTGGCGACCTCGGGCAAGTACCTAATAGTCTTCTGTGCTGACGACTAGATATGGGCATTAACTCACGTCGCTATTTACAATAACCGACTACGGGTTATGTTATTATGTAGCCGAATAACTAGTTTTGATTCGAATAATAAACTAGTATTTTTTGTAAACATGTGACTTCTTGTATTTAGTTACATTACAATACAGTGGGTAATGAAAAGAGAGAATCGAAATAAAAGTAAGGTGATGCGCTGTTTCTTTAGCACTTATATTGTGTGCATTTAAAAAGTATAAATGGGCAAAAAACTATTGTAAAATTAAAAAAAAAACTATTGTAAAATTGTAATAGTGTATTGTAAAAGTGGTGTTGCACCTACTACAGCTTCTCAAATCATCCAGGGTTGACTGGTAGAGAATGCCACAAGGCATTAAGTCCGCCCTTTATATCCCTTACTATAAAGTAGATGTAAAAATAGATAAATGAATATAGTTAAGGTCCCTAAGTGTAAAAAAAAAAATTATAAAAATCGGACATAAGACAGTATCCTTCAAAACCGTAAAAATATGAGACAGCTATAATTTAAATTTGTCTTGTCGCATTGAATAAGGGCGAAATCCCTAAAAGTGGAAGCACGTGTGAACTTTTATTCTTTAATTTTATTTTATTTTATACCACAAAAGTCAGGCGATTGAAAGAAACAACTGCAAAACTTGCTTTTAGCCAAAAAGCAAAGAAGAAGAAGAATAACTTGCTTTTAAGTGATTTCATTCATTACAATCTTCACCTATGTATGCGGTTGCCGTCATGGATTGCCATTATTAACTTATGAGCAAGAAAATTCACACTCAACTCAACAAGTGTTCAAGTGACTTGTTATGATGGCTCAAGTGTATTACTTGTAGCACTTATATACCATGATATAATAAAATTATCACCGCATTTATTAGAATATACTAGACCTTTTATAAGTAGATGATATATTTTATATTCACCGGTATGTTGATGCTTTGTTTTTTTTTAATTCTGTACAAAAAGCACTGAGAACAAATGGAAATACTAAAATGTTTACGAAATAAACCAACATTAAATTAAACTGATCAATTTTGTAAATTTTTTGGTACCATTATATTCACCCACGATTGTCCATATTTTGTACACTCTAAAACTTTAAATTCCTTTGTAATTCACAAATAGCACTTTGATCATAATGTCATATGTTTCTTTCCATTAGGTTAATTTTTTAATCTCACAAATAGCTGCACTATGCCTGGCCAGACTATTTCGGAAACCATTGCGGCTTGCTTCACCAGAATTTCGTCATTTTGTATGCCTTGCTATAGGTTTGCTAATGGGATATTTCTGCTTCGGAAAGTAAGTTAAGCTTAATCAATTTTTATTGTTTTTCTTCAATTTTCCAATCTCTATTACTTTACCTTTATAGTATATGTATGTATGGATTTCATATAATTATGCTTATGTCTAATATTTCATTCTTGTTACCTTGTTACTTTACCTACTCTGTATTCCTATCATCAAATAGCTTAATTTACAATAATAATTTCGTTCCTGGTTGATAAATTGATTTTAATTGTAGAAAGACAAATACCGGCGGGAATTACATAAAAACATTATTCTTGCGAAAATGTATTGTTAATAACATTGTATTCAAAACCAGCGGCATCGCCCGCGTCAAGGTCGGTCAGTCGATAAATTACAGCCCATTTAGCCAATTTATTTCAGCCCTTTATAATATATTGGCTTTTGTCCATGACTCTCGTGAATTATAGTCGGAAACTATATTTTTTATGTCATAATTTCAAGAGGTTTCTGTCAACGGTTTCTGTCGTCTGGAGTTCGAATTGTATTATAAGCAATATATATATATATATATATATATATATATATATATATATATATATATATATATATATATATATATAAGGTCGGGGAAATAGTTTCTTCGTATTTTATATACGAAAATTATAAAAAAATATTCAAGACATTTTTTTTAAATTTAATTACATTTAATATGTGCCATTTTGTTCGATAACTTGTTGCCATCTTGTAGGTAGTGACATAATCCCGTTTCTGTAGAAATCGTGTCATTTTTTATCAAAAAATGCTACTAGTAGTTTTGATGGTACTCTCTTGATGTTAACCTAACACTACCCAAAGAATTCTGAAGAGACCGAAATAGGTGAAAATCTGAGGGTGCAAGGTCAGGAATATATGGTAGATGCATTAAAACTTCCCAATCAAGCTCTCTCATTTTTTCTGAGTGGCCAAAGATGTGTGTGGTCTGACGTTATCATGATGAAAGACCACTCCTTTTCTGTTGATCAATTTCGGCCTCTCAATTTATTGTTTGAGTCTCGTTAGTGGCAGCAGAGATCCAAATCGATAGTTTTGCCCGGCTGTAAAAGCTCATAATAAACGATGCCCTTCCAATCCCACCATACACACAGCATCACCTTATTGCGTGTTAATCCGGGTTTCGCTACAGTCTGTAGAGCTTGACTACCCTTTGACCATGATCTTTTTGCACGTTCTTGTCGTAGGTGATCCAATTTTTATCACCAGTAATCAATCTTTTCAAAAATGATTCGGTTTCATTACGTTTTAATAGAGAATCGCAAATGAGAACACGATTCATTACGTTTCTTTCAGTGAGCTCGTGTGCTACCCAAATATTGGGCTTTTTGTATAGCCAGACTTTTTCTGTGTCTCAATTCCTCGACTATGTCGTAACTACGAATATGCCGATTTTGCTCCACTTTTTTAAAAATGGCATCGACTTTATCCGTATGATGGCGCCCAGAGCGAGCTGCATATTTAACATCAAAATTCCCGGACTGAAAGCGCTTGAACCAACTTTGTGCTGCTCTTACTGACACTACATTAGGTCCATAAACGTCACAAATTATTTTCGCGCTTTTAGTCACATTTTCCCTTTTTTGTAATAAAACTTCAAAATGTATCGAATATCCTCCTTCGTAGATTCACTCATTTTGGCGGACAGAAAAACAATTTTAAAATGGCTAGAAAGTGTTATTTAAATTTAATTTTTCCTTTTCTTAATGCCCTATATGTATTGATATTAAAACCAGCCAGATACAAACAGTACAACCAAAGAGATTTTTCTTCAATTTTATACAAACAAAATACTAAGAAACTTTTCCTCCGACCTATTATTTATCTGTAAACCACATTGTATGATTCATTATGTTGCGCCAGCACGTGCACATTTTGGGTGCTCGCTACTCTCGAACAGCCAACATACTCGTTCTACACTAAAAGCACGGAGAACTCAATTAACACCCGTCATGCTTAAATTCTGACCGTCAGACTCAATAAATATTAAAATAAATGCTAATTTCGGCGGGATATTTCAAAATGAATTGGTATTTTTTGAAATAATTAGAATGCGGGGAATCAAATACGAATTGCGGTCAAAATATTTCTTCCCAGCGCAAGGTTCAGGAACTCGACTGTGTATCCAGTATTATCGTCACGGGCCATTACAGTAAATCTTTTTCTTGCTCCACGTCTAATATTTTTTATGAAATTTACAGATTCATTTCTGGCACATTTAGCACGTGCTCGGCGGTGAAGGAAAACATCGTGAGGAAACCTGTATGTCTGAGAAATATGAAAAAATAATATTTCGAAGACATGTGAAGTTCGCCAACACGCATTGGGGCAGCGCGGCGGACATTTCCTTGCCCTAAAACCCTCTCAGAAAGGAGAGGAGGCCTGTGCCCAACAGTGGGACGTAAATAGGCTGCAACTTTTTTACTTTTACATAACCAATCTTCATTATTGATATTATTCATTAAATTTGGAAAAACGTGGCAATAAGTTCGGCTTCTGTCGCCCTGCATGCCAAAATTTATGTGATAATTAAATTTTGCTATATGCGTCCGTTTAATTATTTAAGCGGGTTAAAATCCCGGTTCCGAAACTTTTTAAGAACCGGGTATGAAAAATGAGGAACCGGATCCGGTTTTGCAAGCCCTATTCTGGCTTAAGTTGAAACCAGGAATGCTACACGAAGTGTAGATAATAGAAAGCTTGAGCCACCAAGAAAAAGAAAAAGTTTCTTAGTAGTTCAGAATAGTGTCGGGGCATGGATTGCGGATTTATGTAGAAGACATCAAAGTTAATGGAAAATTTTGAAAAATGATAAGTAAAGCGCGAGCCAAGAGAATAAAAATCATACACAGCATCAATAAAAGATGAGGTAGACTCTTAATCAGAGGCAAACTGCAATGAATAATAATAAGACATGATACTACAGTAATAAATATGTAGGCACGTCTATAAAATACTGGTTCGATTGAGAGTAAAGGTCTTACTCTAGTGAAGCGTCATCGATATCGCTAAATTCGTCAAGCAACACTAATTTCATTATAAAATAGCCAAAGACGTATTTAACGCTAAAAGTCTTGGTAAACGTGTATTAGATGAAGTGCCTATTGCCTGGAGATTTAAAACTACAATGCGGAATAAGATACCTCACACAATCATGGGACTGCCGTAGTAAAGTAGTAAGCTCTCCTTCTGCGTTTCGTCTGGTGAGTGCAGGTGGCCGGAGGCCCAATTCCCCCCCCCCCCCCCCATCAACATGGTAGCGGAATTACACGTTAGACTACCCCACGAGGGTACCAGCACTCCTGGAGAATCCCTCGCTCAGCATCCACGACCATGTTATTCCACTCCTGAGCTTGGGTGCTCAGGCTGCCCCGCGTATTCTGGGGGGGGGGGGCAAAATTCCGCTCAAAAACATAACTGCTCGGAGCAAACTGAACAACCAGACCAAGGCGACCCCTGCCACGCTATCCGTGAATTTCTGCAACATCAGGGGCCTTCACTCGAACCTAAACGCCGTCCACTACCATCTCGAGACGGCGAAGCCGGCCTTGCTCTTTCTGACCGAGACGCAGGTTTCTTCTCCGGCTGATATTTCGTATCTCTCCTGCCCGGGGTACAAATTGGAGCACTCCTTAGTGCCTCGGGCTGGATTTTGCGTGTATATCGGAGAGGACATCTGTTCTCGACGCCTCGGCAGTCTCGAAGGTTCGGACCTGTCCATCCTATGGCTACGCGTAGACAGCGACGACCATCCGCGCGTCTACGGGTGCCTCTATAGGTCCAATAGCGGTAATGCCGAAACAGACCGACTCATTGACCACGTCCAAATGGCTACAGATTATTTGCTACAACTGGTCCCATCCGCAGAGATCGTGATCCTTGGCGATTTTAACGCCCACCACGCCGAATGGCTCGGTTCACGTTTAACCGATCATGCGGGGAGATCTGTTTATAACTTTGCTTTGGCATATGGTCTGGAACAACTGGTTACTTCGCCTACGCGGATTCCAGATCTGGAGGTTCATACACCTTCCCTGTTGGACCTTCTGCTGACCTCTCATCCGGACGGATATCAGGTTTCCGTCGATGCCCCTCTTGGCTCTTCCGACCATTGTCTGATCCGGAGTGTGGTGCCACTCACGCTCCCCTCGCGGTTGCGTTCTGCAGGTTGCCGCCGTGTTTGGCTCAACTCTTGATGACGGAGGGAAAACACCGCCGACCATCCCGCGGTGTGAGTGCTCCATGCCGGATATGCTGTTCTCACAGCGCTCGGTTCGCAAAGCACTCCTCTCCCTGGACATCCAGAAGTTGAGTGGGCCTGACGGAATTCCCCCAATTGTGCTGAAGACATGTGCTCCGGAGTTGGCACCGGTCCTAACGCGTCTTTTCCGGTACTCCTACTCCCAAGGCGTAGTCCCGAATTCATGGAAGACAGCTTTTGTCCACCCGATCCCTAAAAAAGGCGACTGCTCAGACCCGTACAACTTCTCCAAAATAATGGAATCAATTATTAACTGCCAGCTCATGCGGTACCTTGAGGATCACCAGCTGATTAGTGACCGCCAATACGGTTTTCGTCGGGGTCGATCAGCTGGTGATCTTCTGGTCTACCTGAGCCATAGATGGGCAGAGGCAGTAGAGTCCAAGGGGGAGGCGTTGGCCGTTAGTTTGGACATTGCGAAGGCCTTCGATCGGGTTTGGCACAAAGCGCTTTTTTCGAAGCTCCCTTCCTATGGGCTTCTCGAGAAATTGTGCGATTGGATCACCAGCTTCCTTGCAGTCGGAGCATCAAGGTCGTTGTAGACGGTGCATGCTCCGACTACGAGCCTATTGACGCTGGTGTTCCACAAGGCTGTGTGCTATCACCAACGTGTTGCTTCTGCATATCAATGATATGTTGCTAACTGGTAACATTAATTGCTATGCGGATGACAGTACTGGTGATGCTCTATACACCGGCCGTGCCAATATTTCTCGGGAAAACGTCGCCGAGTATCGGAACAAACTTGTGTCTGAAGTCGAGTCTTTGCTGAACAAAGTCTCGGATTGGGGGCGACTAAATCTAGTCCAGTTTAATCCTCAAAAGACACAAATGTGCGCGTTTACCGCTAAAAAGAACCCCTTTGTCGTGTCTCCTCAGTTTCAAGGCACTCCCCTTCTTGCCTCAGCCAGTATCGGAATCCTCGGAGTCGACATATCGAGTGACGTGCAGTTTCGTGGTCACTTGGAAGAGAAGGCCAAATTGACCTCTAAAAAGCATGGCGTACTCAGCAGAGCGGGACAGTATTTCATGCCGGCACACCGCCTGCAACTTTACAAGGCGCAGGTTCGGCCTCACATTGAATACTGTTCCCATCTCTGGGCAGGGGCTCCCCAGTGCCAGCTCCTTCCACTTGACCGCATCCACCGCAGAGCGGCTCGAATCGTCGACGACCGAGTCCTTTCCGATCGGCTCGATTCATTGGTACTGAGATGTTGCATCCCTTTGCATTTTCTTTCGCATTTACCACGGGGAGTGCTCTGAGGAATTGTTCGGATTAATCCCAGCCGCCAAATTTCACGAACGCACATCGCGGCAGAACTCCCGATACCATCCACACCATCTGGATGATTGGCGGTCCACCACTGTGCGATTTAGAAGATGTTTTCTTCCTCGCACGACTTCCTTGTGGAATCGATTACCATCAGCGATTTTTCCGGACCGATACGACTTAGGGACCTTCAAGAAAAGAGCGTACTCTTTTTTAAAAGGCCGGCAAAAAAATTGCAGATGCGTTATCTGCAATTCCCTCTCTGGTGTTGCATCTGTTCATGGGCGGCGGTAGTCACTTACCATCAGCGGAGCCGCATGGTCGTTTGCCCCCTCTCCTATAAAAAAAAAAAAATTTTTACATCAGTATAGAATTTTTAAAATTTAATAATAAAATTAACAACTTATTGTATAAAATTGTTTTTTGTAATTTTCGGTGCATTAAAATACAATTAAGTACTATTTTGATTCGCGGTGAACGTCTAAAATGGTTGAGGCGTATCTTTCAATAAAGATAGAAAATAATTTGAAAATAAACAAAATATTAATACAAATAGCACATACTTAGTTTCTTGAAAACTGTCCGTCAAATTAAATAGGTCATCATTTTTAATATTATTATCAATAAAACTAAATCTATAATAATAACTAAATAAATTACTAGACTATTTTATAATAAACACGTTTGGAAGACACATGCTGCAGTTACGAGGGGAGGTTAAAAAGTGGTGGGGATGGCGAGGGTGAGTTTACTCATTCGGATAGGCGCTAGTTGAGCGACTCATTGTTAGTATATAATATATATATATATACCAAGTTTCAGCCTAATCGGGTCATTAGCTTTTGAATTATCAATGAGTAAACAAGTCAATCGGGAAAAAAACTAGCCACTATGCAAAAAATTAAATATCGCGCCGTCATTAAGTTTCTCACCAAACAAGGAAAGACACCTCAAACCATTTTTCAAGAGATATATCAGCTGTTTATGTTGCCTCCGCTCCTAGGAAAACCATGATTTATAAGTCGCACGCCCTTTTCAAACAACGGAGGCACTCCATTTTAGACGACACCCGACCTGGACGGCCGATTGAGGCTACCACGCCGGAAATTATCGAAGAAGTTGAAAACCTTAATCTGAAGATGCCCGGCTAAAGAAAAAATAGTTTGCAGCATGAGTTGGAGTATCAGAAACAACCATTTTAAACATCCTACATCAACACCTTTGCATGACTAAAGTATGTGCAAGATGGGTTCCGAGAATGCTTTCTGCGCATCAAAAACACGAGCGCGTCGAAAGTTGTCGCGAGTTTTTGGACCGCTGTGGAGAGCAAAGGGAGGAAGTTATGGCCCGAATCGTAACTGGCGATGAAACTTGGTTTCACCATTATGAACCTGAGTCAAAGCAAGAGTCGATGCAGTGGCATAAAAAACGCACACCCCCTTCTAAGATGTATAATGTGTCTCAATCGTCCGAAAAGATCATGGCGACGATCTTTTGGGATGCAGAAGGTATCCTTTTGATTGATTATAAGAAACGTGGTATTTCCATAACGGGAGAATACTACGCTTCTTTACTAGACCAATTAAAAGAAGCTATTAAAGAACAAAGGCGATGAAAGCTTACAAAAGGCGTGCTAATTTTACACGACAATGCGCCCGTGCACACAAGCCATGTTGCGACGACTGCCATTCACCTAGCGGTTTTGAACAATTGCGCCACCCACCTGGCCAGCCCAGACCTGGCCCCAAGCGACTATTGTTATTTTGTTTCCAAAAATGAAGAAAGGCTTGCGTACGAAAAAATTTGGTGACGATGATGAAGTGAAGTCGGCTATTTCGGCCTATTATTACGCCCAAGACAAATTTTTTTTAGAGGGTATTAATAAGTTATTTGACAGATCTAATAAATGTATTAGAGTTAAAGGAGAATACATTGAAAAGAAAAAATAGTTAAATTTTTCATTTCATTATCCTTCACTGTGTTTCCACGAACTTTCTGACCTCCCCTCGTATATTAATTGTATTGTAGTACGAATGGGTCGGCTCGACCGGGGAAGGACCACGCTCTCACAGAATACCAGCTCAAAATAGCAGCTTAATGCTGCTGCGTTTCTTATAGTGAGTGTAGAGAAGCGGAGACCCTTTTTACTGGAAAAGAAGCATTCGATCTTAGTCCTCACGGCTGACAATGCATATCTGCATTTTGATTCACAAACAAGCAAAAACGAATAGATGTAGATCTATAGGCCATAGCAACCACTTACCATCAGGAGCACTGTGTGCTCACTTTGCAAAAAAAAAGGAAGTGTATTTAAATTTTAGGAAACATAAATAAGATACGATTCTATTAGCGTTAGCACATTGTTAAACAAGGACACATCACTATACTTTGAGTGATTTTCTACATTCAATATGTCAAACAAAAACAAATTCTCTTTTTATTATCGAATAAGGCGATCCAGTATTAACTACTACATAATATATTTATTAAACATTATACTAGAGTATATTTATTAAAATCTTTTGCTTGTCCACTTGTCACCTGTTAAGCATTGAATCAATGCTGTTATTTAAAGGTTAAAGATGTAAAATTAACAACAATGAGGACGACGATAGCTCAACTAGTCGTAGTGAAAGTGATTAAATAAATTTCATTTTTATTCTAGTGCTGCAGTCTTCAATTTATATAATTGTAGTCTATAAATTAGCAGTAAATAATAAATATGAATAAACTCAAAACAGAAAACTTTAAGCTGATTAGATTATGGAATTGATCGTTACGTCTATTTAAAAGTTATTCTAAAAATGCTTCGAAATTTTTATTTTTGAGATTTCTCAAAATGTATCGGTCCGAATTGATTCCAATAGTATTGAAGATCTAAGTTTGGTAAAACCTTTCGAACGCCGCCAAGATCGTTCGAATTGGTCAACCCGTTCAAAAGTTATGAGGTTTACACACACACACACACACACACACACACACACACACACACACACACACGCGCGCGCGCGCGCGCGCCCGCGCGCACGCACATACGCACGTGCACACACATACAGACATAGTGACATCCTCGCAGGAATAGTCAGAACTGCCATTCCTACGAGGAACCTCTCCTCTCTTTCTGATCTGATTAAAACTCGATTTTCGAAAACTGGGATGAAACCAATAACTTCTCGATTTTTTTTGAAAATCATTGATTATCATAGCGGGAAGTTAAAAACATCTACTATACGTAGAGGGGTTAAAGAGGGAATGTAGGAACTTCTCCTAATACCAGACCTACCTTTGAGTGGTTTAACCTGTTAATCAGCAAACGGAGTAAAAACGTGTAGGCTAGACTTGCGTCTTCACAAGGTCGTGTAAACGCTAATAATAACTTAAGAAGTATCAGTACAGTATGAAACTACAAATGGTCTATTGTTATGCACTGTCCAACTAATTTTTATTAAACGTTACAAACAAACACTAGGATTTTCTCCTGTGTCGTGGAGGCAGTTTACATACACAAATTGCACAAGGACAAACATCCAGACCCGGTACAATTATTTATTTGTAGGCCATACAAATACTTGTTCCGTGCGGGATTCGAACCCGCGCCCCACAGCGCAGCAACTCATTGCTAAGCCACTGCGCCACGGAGCCGTCGATTCGTGGAATTGCACAAAAGTACTTGGTTACTCATTTACTTTATAATTAAATCGATAAAAATGCTAATTAACTTAGAGCTAACTGAAGAATTCTTCTTAATTGATGTTCTACGTTAATACCAAACTTAAATAAGATTTTTTTTCAGACAAGCGGTGCATCTGTCAGTTCTGCCAATGTTAAGTTATATTCTGCTGAAGACGTTACCGTATCACTTCTTGGGAAAGTACGTATACTTCAGGTCTTATCATGCATTAATATCTTATTTTCAATTAAAAATGTTATTATTTTGCAGTGTTATTTTGACCACGTCCATGTTATATTTATCATGTATTCACGTACACCGGCAACTTTACCACACTTCGGACTACACGTTAGATATTACAGGTAAACTGTTCATGTTAAAATGTATTCAAGTTTCTCTAATATAAATGTTGACACCCGATGCTTCGCAATTTTCGAAGCTATGAATGACTAAAAAAGTAATAATACATTTATAAAGAATGTTTATTGTTTTCTTCGAACGAACATTGCGTTATTTTATTCGTAGTTTGGTAAGCGCATAGCGTTCTTTTTGAGCAATTAATACTTTGAGACGTTGCCTAAACTGGTACTATAATAATATTAACAATTCTATGTAGCCAAAAATAGTCCTAGATTTAAAAATAAGGAAATATGGAAATTCTAGTGTAGGGTTTATGTCTGTGACCACCCTCTTATAAGTCACATTAGGCAATAAAAAGCGTGATATTTTTCACATTAAAGTTCTTGTAATATACAGGATTATTTTTCAATATAGCCCAAATTTGCAGAGGTTTGCAGAATAAGTAATATAGGCGAATGGTTAAGAAAAAATAATTAAAAATAAAATCTCAAACATTCTTTTTTATCTTTTAAATTCAGAATGCGTGGTAATGCATTACTTGAACTGATTGTCATTCATAAATATCTTAGGTTACTATTTTCCTACGCACGCACACATTCTTAAGGGTCGCTCGGTCGTCAAAAATGTTGTGAATTGAATCGCACACAGAGGGGGGCGAGCGTACGCGTAGTTGTTGCCTATAAACCACATTGAATTTGGGATAATTTCAAAGAAAAGTAGAACCCGTATTTAATCGTATTTTCATAAAGTGCATTAGGAGTATATCATTACTTATATATTTGAACTTCAATATAAAATTTCGATAGTCTTTGAAAAATAAGCCTGTATATGGGACTAATGTTTCCGGTTCCAAACAAGCAACAATATCATCAGTCTCTTATTTGCAGGTCCTCTTATGGTGATAACGCAGAGGATAACATCGCTAGCGTATTTGTTGCAAGATAATTTAGTTAGACATGAAATTAACTCGAACAATAATATGAAGGACGATGGGCAGGCCGCTAAAGTCGACAAAATACCATCACCCCTTGAATATTTCGCATACACATTAGCTTTCCAAACTCTAATGTGTGGGCCAGTTGTTTTTTACTCCGACTATATTAAATTTATTGAAGGAGCTCGAGTTGACGGGGTAAGAGTTACATGCACTGTTATTTAATTAAAAACTGTTGGTTTCTATATCAAATTATAAAATTATTATTAAATATAATAAAAAGTTTTGTTCCATCAGCATTATCTAATTATGCTATTTAAAAAGTAGTAACTGCGGGGTACAGGCCTTAGCTTATTTACAACACCTATAACATAAAGCATTTTTTCTAATACTTATCCTTCACTTCCTATCGTATTTCATGTTCTCGTATAAGGAGTTGACGGTACCTACTTTAAAACGTGTTTTTTTATTTATTTAATTAGGTTTTTTTAATATTTTTTTTTACTTTTCGCGACGTTATATTTTATATTTTAAGGGATAAAGTAAAGCACAATAGAACTGTAAAAAAAAAACCTTGGAGACTATGAATAAAGCCTGGGGCAGCGTGCTTGTTGTGAATTTCATAATAATAAAACAGCAACTTAAGTTTGATCTCTGTTGACGGAAATGTTGATGGAAATTTAAATGCACGGCGAAATGTTTCATGGACATTTTAAATCCTCTCAAATTGGGGGGAGACCTGTGCCCAGCGTGCTAAAATAATCGAACACCACTATATCACAATATGTCTTCTAGCTGATTTTTAACTCTAGTAGCTTTAAATTTTTTTCATGATTTTCTTCTTTATATTTTTATAACTAAAACTGCAGGTTGCAAAGGATAAATCGAGTCAGTCAGAGCCATCTCCACGGCGTGCAGTTTTTTATAAAGTAGCGGGATCCGTTGCTGCTGCTGTATTATATTTGACTCTTGCTAAAAAATACCCGCTCACAGTGTTAGAAGGTAAGCTCACAAACCTGTTTATGAACATAATTTTTTTTTAATATTTAGTAACTATTATAAATAGAAATTCATCATATGTAACAGTTTTTAAGGGAAATTCGGTCATAATAAACTTGCCATCTCATCTAATCGATTTCTTCTCAGTAACCTCGGTCCGCTGCTAGATAAAAATCCTTCAATGTATAAAATTTAACATAAACCTGAAAATGTTTATTTTAACTATAGCACCCTGGGTTGGCAAGTGAGCGCAGTGCCGATAGCCCAGCGTAGAAGTACCAATTCTCGCCATCATTGGTCTGCGGGACAATCCAGCAGACCAATGATGGCGAGAGTATGCGCGAATGTACCGAAACAAAGTTCGGTACATTTGAGCATTCTGCCCTTACAAGCAAGTGAACTTTATAATTTATATCTTCCCTCTTACACGACGTCCTGCGTGAGCGATCTAGACGCGAACGCGAAGCGGCGCGGCGCGGCGCGATAACAACAAACAGTCGAAACCTATTGAAGTGGCCTACGTGACCAAACGCACGTGGGGTGCGGTGCGGAGCGGCGCGAAATGAAGCGAACGCGATCAGTTGGCTTGATATTTTCGCGCGAACTGGATGCGGTGTCGTCGTGTTTTTGTTTGGATAATGTCAAAAAAATTTATTAATGCTATCCAAGAACGTCCTATATTATGGGATAAAAGGAATAAAAATTATCACAACCGGTTATTATCGTACCGTGAATGGGAGGATTTGGCCAAATTAACTGGGACTACTTCTTACTGCTAATGATACATAATAATAAATGTAAGAAATATTTCTTTTTCTTTTTCTTACCTTAAAGTCACCACCAATCGTTCTTCTACAGAAATAGGTCGCTGGAAATTGGTACTAGTGAATTGCAAAACAGGTTTTATGGCTTACACAATATAGTCAAACGTTGTAGGCAACTTTCGACAATATTCCTTGAATAACAAAGGTTGAGCCCGTAATTCCTCATACAAATTGTGAAATTCCCCATAAATATGCCTTTCTAAGTATACAATATTAGTCCCAATTCTTCGCCGTACATACTTCTTGAGTATTTGATACTTAAGAAATGAATTTTCCAATAATATTTGTTTCCGTCCGACCATGACAAATGCACAGCGCCCGCTGAACGGTGACGTCGTCGGTGGCGGCTGTGCGAGACGATTCGCGTGCACGTAGGACATAGCCGCCGCGTCGCACCGCATCGCATTGAATTCGCGTGTACTCGCGTTCGCTTTGAACCTAGGACGCCGTGTTAGGCTTCCTATGCATATACAAGTCCTAGAACGTAACGATCAAACGAAAGGTGACTGTAGACCATGGAAGGACTGTTAAAAAAAATGAGGTGCTATACCCAAGTTGCGTGGTTTAAAAGGGTGATTTATAAATTTTCCAGAAAATCACCCTTTGCGTCAATATTTTTGTTCCTGCAGCTGCAAAGTACCAAAACTATTTATTTATTTGTTTGATTTCGTTGTTGAAAACAAAGGATACGGGCGAGGTAAGGGAAGGAATCTTACCTACCTGAGCTGTGCAGAGTTCTAGTTACTTCCCTATCTTCTGTCTCGCTTGCACTTACATGTAAGTACAAGTGCAAGAATTAATTCTATGCGTCATAGCAACTAAAGCTGAGAACCTAAAACTAAAATATGACGCATAGAATCGAATTGTATCGTAATTTGAATGTTATATTTAAAACTAGCTGTGCCCGCGGCGTAGCTCGCGTATACAGGTTTTACATAAACAATTTGTCGTTTAGGTAAGAGAATATTAAACGATTTATTTCATTACTGTATCAATAAGTGGTAACTAAATAAATCATTATCATCAAAGTTCTAAGTCGTTTAAGATAGAGCTTCTGTGTAAACGACGTGAGAAGTAGGCTTAGCCGGGGTGTACACTAAAAGGTTACGGGGGCTACTAACGCGGGAAAAAGCAACATAGAGTTGGCCATGTGCAAAACAGTCAGTACTGAGGTACACTCCTACAACGCGTAAAGTTTGACCATGCGCTTTATTTACGGTCATCGCATAACACACGCTCACTGTAACTGGGAACTGAACGCGCTTAAAACTGAAAGGAAAGTTACTTCTTAATAGAAGGTTTTTGGGCAGTGCTGCCAGATAAAAAAAAACTAATTCAGCTCTAGGACAACACAAAAAGCGCTAGATTTCATGAAAACAGCGCTTTAAAAAAGCCCTAGATTTCGCGCTAAATTAACTACAAACAAAGTTTGTGTTTTTTTATATAATCATAATAAAGAAAACAACATTAAGTTTTTTTTCTGGCAATATTTTTTTGATGTATCAATACTTCGCAGGACATCGACTTATAATTATGGCAATTGCTGTCAACAGTAGTTAGTACTGTACGAACAATAAAAATGTCATTAATTGTTTTAAAGTGCAATGTATTTCGCAACTTAGTTTCAGATGTCAGCATCTGATTGCGGTTGCTACACAGTTTCTTTGTGTTATAACTTCTAAGTAACTTTTAACTTAGCTGTGCTCTAAGCAACTGACTGAAACTGAATAAAGCAAAATAAATGCGTTGCCAAAACCATGAACAAAAACTTTAATAAAGGGGTTTCCCCGCTTATAGTCGTCGGTAAAAAAATCAAGTTGATCATCCTAAAGGGGAAGCCAGGAGATACATAGCACAGGGTATCCTAGTTTGGACTCGTCTCCCATGCTCTTTGTTTTGTGGAAAAAATATGTTTGAAAAAGATAAACTGCAATGTACTATTTGTGGGAAAAAATAATAAAGGTCATTATTATTATTATCGGTAATGTGGACTAACAGTGCTGCTATAAAAGAGTTAATAACCCGCTAGTCGCTAAAATATTGAAATGTGTGCTAAATACACCAAAAAGCGCTGGATTAAGCTAGGGCTAAAATTGCGAAATGCGCGCTATACATTCCAAAAAAGCGCTAAATCTAGTTCCCAAAGCGCTAAAGTGGAAGTACTGATTTTGCGTATATTATAAATACAATATCACGACATTTCGTTACAAAATTTTTATTTTTGGTCGGATTCCGTTGTATGGCTTCGATGGATACAAATTTCTTCAGTAAGTCTCAATACGATTCATCGGCGAAAAATCTCAACACAGCAATTCAGAAAAGTTTGTAATTTGTACAACTCCATCTATTAGGTCCTTTGTGTGAGAAAACATCCTTTTTAAATCTCTTTTTGTGTTTTAAGTATAAATATATTAATTATTATGGAACGTTTTTTTTACACACACATCTTTTTATTACTATTTCTGAGATTTTATGGCGCCATTGAACAAATTCGAACCTACATTTCAAAATAATAATCATTACTTTCGATAGAATTAACCAATTTTAATAAAACAAAGATTAAATGTAACTCGAAGATACGTTTTATGATTTTCTTAACGATTTCTTTGAAAATAAAAGATGTTTACTTTAGACGTGATGCGTTCATATAATAACAGACAAATAGACAGACAGACAATTCTAAAAATTATAAAATGTTCTTATTTAATTATTTTCAGTTCCCCATAATGATTTTAGCCACCAAAATATATACCTATACAATGTACAGAAAGAGACACAATATGTTATCATCATTTTTATTATATGTATATATTTAAAGAGAGATGGCGCTGCTAACATCAATTCTAAAAATAAAAGAGATTAATTGACGCGATTGATACATTATATAAAACGCAAGAGTACTTATAAATCAGTGCCTGCACAGTAAGCAAAAAATAAAGTTTGACTCTCGCCAAAACCAACGATTTGTTAATAGCTCTTTTAAAATTTGATTTACCACATAGAGTACTCGGCGGTAAAGAATAAATTGAGTTTATCAACACGCAGTAGGGCAGCGAGTAATATAATAAAGATTAGCAGTAAATATGAAAACTCATCTACAGGAAAAAAAAACATTGCAATTGCATTACGTTTTCACGAAACCACCATCTATCGAAGAAATGGGAAAACTATTGTGCTTCAGATTTAGTTAATAAGGTTAATATATTTTTGTATAATATATTTAATACGTTTTTTAATACTTTTGTTTACTGCGTTTTAGATATACATAATTATATCATTATTTTACATAATTTAACTATGATTTATGATATGATATTAGTTTAAAATGCACCTGATGACTCAAACAAAGCCACCGTTGAGCAAATTCGTACCTATACTTCCCTACCCATACTTCAGAATATTTATCATAACTTTTGATGGAATGAACTGATTTTAATGAAATAAAGACTAAATGTAACCCGAAGATACACTTTATAATTTCCTTAACAACTCTTATGATATAAATTAGTACTTTATACGTGATACGTTAACAAACAAACAGACAGACAGACAGACAGACAGAAAATTCTAAAAATGGTAGAAATGTATTTAATTACTTATTTTTAGTACCCCTCAATCACTTTTATTACAAAAATATAAAATGTACAGACATCTGCTATTTACAGTTTTATTATATGTATAGATACCAAAATTGGTTAAAAAAATTAACTACTTTTTACTTTTCTATGGATATTAGGTCCAAATCGGCCAAAGCAGCGTGAAAACGAATTATTTTTCTTTACATTAATCGAACGGACGAATCATTTAAAAAAAATATCTAATTGAGTAATTTGCACAATTTCTACCCTCTGCGAGAAAAAAAAATATAGCACAAAAATTGAAATAAAAGTACCAAGTATTATATCATTTTAAAATCTACATGAATTGCGCTAACTTTTGAATACACTTGCCAAGTCCTTGTGGGTACATTTTTTTTACAGGATGAAGGGTCCAACTTGCTCGATAAAACTTTAATGTTACATTTTTACACTTTTACGAATTTTTATGTACTTATATATTTCTACCAAACCGTAATAAGTACTGAAAAATAAAATAGTAGGTATAGTAGACATATCATTAGGCTATACAAACCAGAAAAAAAATTAAAATCGGTCCTCATTTGCAGCTGAAGCATCAAAAATATTGATGCAAAGGGTGATTTTCTGGAAAATTTATAAATCAACCTTTATCTTTTCAACTACATAACTTGGGTATAGGACTTAATTTTTCTTGAACAGTACTTTCATGATCTACAAACCCCTTTCGTTTTATCGTTACGTTCTGGGACAACTTGTATATGGAGTCGAAGTCACACCGCATGTTAGTGTATACGAACAAAAATTGCGTACGAGCCGCACCGCTAAGCCGCTAACGCATCTCAGCCGCGTTAAATCCGCAACTTTTTGTGTATATTACCCGACGACACCAGGGCGGAGTTTACATGTTGTGTTAGTTCAGTTGTGACTGCAGTTAAAAAGCGGACACATTATCAATACCATGGATAAAATATTCCATTTAAGAAAAACTTGTAAATGCTAGTTTGCAATATATTAAAAAACTATTATCTACACGACACAACACATTAATGTAAAATTTATGTAAGTGAACCATTTAATCGCAAGGTTTATTACAGCTATAATTAGAAAAGTTTATACAATATTGGTTTATTATGTAAAATTATTTCTATTTTAAATATGTATTTGTAACACACCATATCAATGTCTTATTAATAACAGATTATCAAATAAAGATATTCGATCAGACTTAAATCGAAAATTTGTTAATAATGCTATATAAAGTGTAGTAAAAATAAGTTTACTCGAATTTATGCGACACTAGTGGAAAATGTTAGGTAAATTGCATAGTAAAATGAAACCTATATAATATTTTCTTATAAAAATTACCCCGCCTGCCAAGCGTGACACTTGGAGGTTGGAGGACGAATATATTTCCCTTGGATTGTCACATGAAGCTAATACAAAGGGGAGACGGCATAAGCAACTGTGCACTGTGATTCTAAGTAGGTCCTGACGTCATCATAGTGGGCGTGGCTTTAGTTAGTATACTGTCAGCATTCGTCCTGTGCGCTTATGTGTTGAAAAAATCGCAAATCGGTGTATTTTCGTAGTATTAAGAAGAAAAGGATGAAGTGTTGTGTTTTATTGTGTAAAAACTACTCAGATAGATGCTCTGATGTTATGGATGGCATCACATTTCATTTGTAAATATTTTTACACCTAATTTATTAAAATAGTTCTAGAAAAATCTCTTTGCGTCGGCTTTCAAATATAATTAAATATATTCGACACTAGATGGCGACACTTTGTGTCATGCTCATGTGAACTAAAAATGTAAAGGTAGAGCTCAGTATTGGTAAAATAATCATACGAAGGTGCTGAAATTTGTTTTGCATTCAGACATAAAGAAATTTTAATCGCAATATATCATTTTTATAGTTTATAATCATTTTGAGAACAGGCCGTATTCTCGTCAAGTAAACCTCATAAAAATGACAAAAAGACAGGGCCCTAATTAGAATTCAATTATTTTTCCCAGTAATCCAACTTTTAATATTAAATGCAGGAAATTGTACTTAAGCTGATTTTTACAAAATGTTTAAGTTATATTTAAGTGCCATTCTATATGCAAAGAATCACTTAAATACAATTGAATGTTCTTAGATTGGCATTCAAAAAGTACATTCGGATGCCTAATTTGGAATAAAATATTTATATTTTAATTGATTTGTAAATAAAATTATATTAATTATAATAATTTGTCTATTATTTGTTCTCCCTCAGAGATATTAAGTAGTATAACCCACACATAAATAATAATCCAGCCGTTTCTGCGTGAAAAAATTACACATACTTAGTGTGGAATAAGCTCAAGGAGATAGAAAGAGCACACAAAATTTCGCCTTTATAATATTAGTGAGATAAGTAGGATATTTAGTTCCAAATTAAATATCCTACTTAATATTGAACATAGAATATTTAGTTTCAAAGAGACTTTATTTTATGGATAAAATAAATATTTCTTGGTTGACTTTCACGAAATGATAAACATATTTAAATTGTATTTAAGTGATTCTTTGCAATGTCTTGAATGTCACTTAAATATAACTTAAACATTTCGTAAAAATCAGCCAAGTACAATTTCCTTCATTTTAATATTGAATGTTGGGTTACTGGGTAAAATAATTGAATTCTAATTGCGGCCCTGTCTTTTTGTTATTTTTTATGAGGTTTACTTGACGATAGATGGCGGCCTGTTCCCAAGATTATTATGAAAACTATGAAAATATTATTTTGGCGATTAAAATTTCTTTGTCTGAATGTATTTGCTTCTTGAGATAGACGCTCCGATGCTATGGATGCCATCACATTTCATTTATAAGTAATTTTACACCTGATTTATTAAAATAGTTCTAGAAAAATCTCTTTGCGTCGGCTTTCAAATATAATTAAATATATTCCACACTAGATGGCGACACTTTGTGTCCTGTAAACTAAAAATATAAAGGTACGTAGAGCTCAGTAATGATAAAATAATCATACGAAGGTGCTGAAATTTCTTTGCATTCAGACATAAAGAAATTTTAATCGCCAAAGTGTTATTTTTAAAGTTTATAACATTTTGTGGATATGCCGCCATCTACCGTCAAGGTAGCTAAGCTACATTGCAACATCAATATGGAAAGATTCGAGTAGTTTTACTATTTATCGGTAGATGTAGATAGTGTAGTGGGCGGGGCTTTGCAATCCCCTCACCCCGCAAATTGTCACGCGTTGTTACATAGTGAAATTTAATTACAACGTCTCCTCTTTGTATTTGCTTCATGGATTGTCACTAGATAAGTTCAACTTCGACCCAAGGTCAATCGATGAATTTGACTTATTATGCGCTGGGCAGCGTTCTTTATGCCTCCTCTACACAACTCGCGAAGTAGATCGAAGTTGGACGAGGCGAATAGTGTAGAGAGGTACTTTGATTCTCTTCGTCCAACCTCGCTTCGCCTCGGGCGACTTCCGATTGCTGTCGGTTTTTTGCGCCAGAGTCAAAGGACTTTGCGAAGTACCCCGAAGTTACACGAAGCGTCTCTCTACACTACTCGGCTTACGCTAGTTATGAATTTTTTTTACATATATAAATATTAAATATGTAGCTTTCTACATAATTATTTATTTAGTTAACGCATTGACGTCGTACTGTTCACACAATTAGGTACCTATAGCAGCTGCCTCTTGAACGTCATTTATGTTAAGGGTGCGGGAGTCTCAAGACGACTGTGCTCTTCCCGAAGTAGCACGAGTGTGTGGTCACGTTCTTCGGACTGCGATCGACTTCGACGAGCACTTCGTCGAAGTTACTTCGCGAGTAGTGTAGAGGAAGCATTAGATTATTACAGCGTTTTTCGTGAAATGCCTCGGTTCCAGTAAAATGGTCACCGGTTCTTGTCTCTCACCATACGAAACACAGCAGCATTAAGCTGCTTTTCTGCCGACTTCAAAAAGGAGGAGTTACTCAATTCAACTGTATGCTTTTCTTTTATGTGTATTTTTACCTCATACCTTTTTTCTGGGTGAACCGATTTCGATGATTCTTTTTTTATTTGAAAGCAGGTGGTTCTCATGTGATCCCATATAAATTTGATCAAGGTCTGACGAACAGTTTTTGAGTTATTCGTAATGATTTATATTGAAGTCGGTTGTACAAAATTTTTAATTATTTATGCTGGTATTCTGTGAGAGTGTGGTCCTACCCCAGTCGGGCCGACCCATTAGTGCCACTACTATATCTAATATATCTGCAGATTGACTCTACCACGTACAAACGTTGATCATTTTAGTGACAACAGTATTATTGGAATTTGCATTGCGTGGTTTTGCTTCGCGACTAGTTGCGCTCGCTAACTGTCGCTTGCGAAGGGTAATGAAAAAGTTTACATTAAAATTGACGTTGATTTGTTTTTTACTACCTACACTATGTATTTTAATTATTAGAATATTTTTCTTTATAAATTTATGTTCATCAACATTGGCTTATAACAAATGTCTATTTATTTTTAATAAACTAGCGACCCGCCCCGGCTTCGCACGGGTGATTTCTGGATCTCAACACCAGCGCCATCTACCAGGTCCCAATATAAACCATGTACGGACCCATTCAGATACGCACAAAAAATTTCATGAAATTCGGTCGGGCCGTTTATGAGTTTTAGCGGGACTAACGGACTGCAATTGAATTTTTATTTATATAGACATTTGCTATGATAGATGTTTGGCAAGAAGCCTATTCACAATCACTTTATCCGACTTCTTGCACATAAAGACATTAAGAGTATCACGTAAAATGTATTTTATCTTTTTTACAGAGCTGACCGACCCTACATCGGAAGTATCACGATCGTGGTCGGCTTTATATTTACTTTGGTACGCGTACCTATCCACATTAGTAGTACGATGCAAATATTATCATGCATGGTTGCTCTCAGAAGCGATATGTAACAACTGTGGTATGGGTTTCAATGGGTACGACGCTAATGGTACGCCCAAATGGGACAAAATGTCCAATATCGACGTTTTTGGGTTCGAGGTATGTAAACAAGTTGTTGTGATTTATTTTACTACTACATTCTAAGAATTATCCCATACGCGGATACACACACAATATCAGACTGCGGTGCAAACCACCTGTGTGCCTGTTACTGATATACTACTTAATTTAACTGATTTTAGAACACGACACTACCCCACCCAAATAAGAGAATTTAACGATCCTTTCTCCTTTGGGTATCAGGCAAATTTATACGATAAGTAAATAATAAAAAAATATTATTGTCTTTTTTTTCTTTTAACTTTAAATAATTTCTTAGTAAATTTAAAAAATAATATTTTAATATTGTGCCTATATTTCTCATTCTTAACCTTGTCTGCAAATTTGGTCGGTTATTGAAAAATAAATCTCTATAGAATGAACAAATGTAATTGTAGAATTAAAGAAGACAAGAACAAGGGAAAAAGAAGAAGGGAAATTTGACATAATACCTGAAAAAATTCCAAAATAGATTTGGTGAAATATGTATATAAAAAGTTTAAGGGAAGCAATTTTTAAGAGCTCTATGGGCATTTATAATAAAGGAAATTTAGCAACACGGGCTACCGAGTAGCCATAGCGATTTCCACCAACACAGAACTGTCGCATTACAAAAGTAATCGTCTATCACTACGAAACTCACATATAACAATAACACGATAAACTAACATTTTCACGCACACTAATACAAAATACAAATATATTGGCTAATAGGTGGGATTCTCCACTGCTAGGACACAAAAGACTAGGAATTTGCCTGCATGCGTCAGGCTCTCAGCCAGGTTCTATATCTATACAAATAAATAAAATTGAAGTGTCTATTTGTAATGACAAAACTACAGTTTTTTAATAATTGCATATAAAAGATCTTGTCTGTATGTCTGTTTGTTCCGGCTAATTTCTGAAACGTCTGGACTGATGTTATTAGGAGTAACATAAGCTACTTATATTTTAGAAAAACAATTAGGGTTCCGCGCAACAAAATTAAAACCCAAAATTACACGCGGGCGAAGTCGCGGGGTACAGCTAGTTTTGTATATTATCTGGGATTTTGTTTTAAAAGCGTATACATTCGCCCCAGGAATGAATTCCTGTATCGTTGAAGTCGAGCAACTGGTACAAGTAGGTAAAGGTTTGACATTGTGTGCGCGCGGGCAGCTGGCGCAGAACTTCCGCGCGGCGGTGGCGTGCTGGAACAAGAACACGAACGCGTGGCTGCGCAGCGTGGCGTACGAGCGCGGCGGCCTGGGCACGGCGCGCGTGTACGCGCTGTCCGCGCTCTGGCACGGCTTCCTGCCCGGCTACTACCTCACCTTCTTCGCGGGAGGACTCTTCACCCTCGCCGCTAAAAAGGTTACTCATTGTTTTGTTCTGTCTTGTTCAGTACGATTTGTAAATAAGTATGAACGCGGCATGATTACTTTCCGAGTTATAATAATTATTATTATTTTCTATTTTAATATGTTGTACCACATTCATACAGTTATCAAATCTTGAGGGATTTTTCCATAGAAAAAAATGATTTGTGCTATTGAACAACGAATATTCATAAGTTGTGCTTGTCGGCGCCGTTACGACAGCAAATACTGTGTTCGCGGGGAGTACGAGTAGCGCGGGGGGTTTTCTCACCACCGCGCCTAAGACCGCCACTCGCCGATAGCTCGCGACCCGATCACCACGAAATTAGTTTATATTTTGATTATTTAAATAAACAATTTTGACTATCGTGTGATAGTCAAAAGTGTGTCGCCTATTTTATTCATGTTCCCTAATTGAACAGTGCTATTATGAGGGTCTAAAGGAGAATTTTTACATTCCTCCGCAACGTAGCAATTAACGTACTGTTGCGTTGTCGTACATAATAAACAGCACAACGTTGGGGACCTAATTGCTTAACTTCTTTATACGTCCTTTAGTTGTCTTAAAACCCCCACAAATTTAGTCTTTATTACCTTCTCTTCGGAATCTCTTCTAAGTTTCTATAAACTGAACACTAATAATAATATCATCTGGATCGAATTTCAATCACAGCGATAATTCTCAACGGACACTAGCATGCACATGTGGCAAACCAACACTACCGAAAAGAGATCAGGCGCCGGACCCTATCCGAGGCACAGAAGTGAAACTCGGCCCCTTTCTTAACTCTGGGCTGCTACTGCAAATTTCTTGACAGATAAACCAAACACATTTTGGCTCCACTCGGGACGTCATAGTCAGCAGAAGTGCTTATTTAGGTAACAAACGAGCCCACAGTCCCCCTGATGGTAAGTGGGTACTGTAACCTATAGACATCTACATTTATCTTCAGTTAAATATCAAAATGCAGACGCGTTGTCACTCCTGAGGACTGAGATGGAAAGCCTCGTTTCCAGTAAAAGGGGTCTCCGATTCTCTACACTCATCATACGAAACACAGCAGCATTAAGCTGCTATTTTACGCTGGTATTCTGTGAGAGCGTGGTCCTTCTCGGTCGAGTCGACCCATTCCTGCTACAACCATGATATAGCTACAACGTGGCTACTACGTAAGAAACCACTAAATCCACTAGACCAACAAGGCTGTCAAAAACTGAAAGCTACGCGGAAGATGAATTAAAATTTTATTCTCCAATATAGCTCGTTTATAACATTCATAACTGACCCGCAGACACAACCCTCCGCGTTTTTAAGTAGTTTTCCGCATTTATCTTACGCTGACCATAGATATCGTATCATAGATACCATGGTGGTCGGAGACAATATTCCTAAATTCTTAAAGCTGATACTCTACACACTCCCAAAGCAAAATCAAGCAAATCGCTTCACTTGAGGCGGCGGCATTCCCGCCATTTTAAATCGATTGTATTGCTTGATTATAATTTTTCCAATGCTACAGTCATTCCTATTAACTAACAGTAACATCTCTTGGGCGGTATTTCTTGCTTGGTAAGATACTTTCACAGATATATGTTTGTAGGAACTAGGAAGCGACATAGATCGGAATAGATCACGCCACAAAAAAGTGATTTTATTTTTTATTTCAGTTCTTCGAATTTATCTGGCGATATCACAATGGATATTGTCTCCATTAGCCAGTACCATGTAAATTAAAATAAAAAGAAGAAAGAAAGCAATCTACCAAGCGTTCACTAAGAGAATCCCCGTGATCACAATAACAATATTATAATATAATATATTATATAATAATATTATAATATATTATGTTATAATATTATAATTTTAAACATTCATTGATAGCCGATGCCGAGCAGAGAGCCGTGGTAGCTCAGGTGCTTAACGGTCGCTGTAAATTTCAGAGTACGCAAGCAACCCGGGTTTGATTCCCACCGGAACCAATTAAATTGTTACTTGCAATTTTAAATGCTGATTTACCACGTTCTCGGCGTTGAAGGAAAACATCGTGAGAAATCTGCATGTCTGAGAAATAAAAAAAAACTTAAAAATATTTCGAAGACGTGTGAAGTCCGCCAACACGAATTGGGGCTAGCCCTAGAACCCTCGTGAGAGGACGCCTGTGCACAGCTGTGGGACGTATATAGGCTGTAAATTTAAACATTCATTGATGAAAAAATAATTATATTACTATATTATTTATTTTATGTATATTTCTTATTAAATACTGGTATATTTTATTTCTTTATTGCATTAAATTATTTAAGACACTTGCTCTTACTTTTCACCATACCATGGTTTATTTGGCAGAGAATTTCGACTGCCATTAAATTTGCCTGTAAGCTTATAATACGATAGTTATCAAACAAATAAATAAATATGTCCCTTTACAGAAAAAATAAAGGTTATCTGATTAAAAATTTTGTGCTAACAGGTGCGTGCTGTGGTTCGTCCAATGTTTTTAGATAGCAGACCCAAGAAATTGTTCTACGATTCATTGACTTTCATAACTACTCGTATTGCAATGACTTACGCCACAGTGCCTTTCATCTTATTACACCTTACTCCCAGTCTCGCATTTTATGGGTAAGATTTTTTTTTAAATTCAAATAACTGTAATTTTTTAATATTTGTTTGAAATTGAAATTATTGAAGTATGATTAAGTTTAATTAAATTCTTATATAGGTTTAATATTTCAGGAAATTTTACTATTCCCTGCACTTCATTGCGCTGGGTGCATTGTTATTGCCGAGCAAACCAAACCGTTTATCAAACAATTCATCAAACCTGGAACTTCCGCCTACTTCTTCAAACGGTAATAAAGATATGTTATCCAGCAATGACAACTTTGGCAAAGAAAACGGTAAATTAAAAACATCTTAACAATTAATAAAATTTCTATGATTACAATTGTGTTAAAATGTATGTATCTCATTGTTCATTCATATTAAATTTCTATTAATATGATGTGAAGAAAACAGTATAATGTTTATTCATTTACATTTCAATAATTTTTATTAACATTTAAAATTTGCATTTATTTACAAAAAAGTATTACAGTCATTATATTTGAAATGACTGTAATCATAATATATAATTTAGGTATATTACAAAGTTATAGCGCAAAGAAAGTCTGAAATCATAGTGTGTAAATGTTGATTCTCTCATAATACAGTTTGTATTTTTAGTATCCTTTAACTTAAATAATGAGGAACATAAAAACTAATTTAGAATCTTCAGTTTGAATTTGCACCAAATATGAAAAAGTTAGACAGAAATATCTTGACAGCTTAACGATTAATGTATTTTTATATCAATGAAAAGTATGGTCTTCCCAATGAGCAATTCTCGATAAAGTTTAAAGTATGACGACGCTGTCAAAGACCAAAACAGTCATATACACCGTTGATAAATGTTCAAGAAGCCCTTCATATAATACGTTCACAAACACGTGATGGGGGGGAGTATTGTTTAACATACAGATAATAATATGTGGCACATACCATGGGAGTCTAAAAAACGTGACGTTGATAAACGTACAATAGCTAGCAGCCTCTGCAGATAGGCTAGGTAGAACAGCGGACTCTTCTCACATTTATCTTAATTTTATGCCGCTATTAATTACTGTAGACGAAATAGGTGAAATTTTGGGAATGTGAATATTTTATGAGAGGTATTTCTAGAGTATTTAAAATATTTTAGTGTTATTTTCTTAAAATGCTTACACATTTTTTACTATCTAGAATTAGAATTGACTCATATATACAAATTTATAAAAATATTCAACATAAAAAGACACATTTAAAATATACAATGTTATATTGTTATTTATTCAAGTTGTAATTTTAAGGTTCTTGCAAAAGTATTTGATTTGCATTACGAGTATATCTGTCCTATCAGTATTTTACTAATAAGTATGATTATTATATATTTTGACATTATTTACTGTTAATAATAATACATCAACACTAAGATGGTACATAGAGTTCACTATATTTGAAGGTGGCCATTGCTGTGTATCGCAAGAAAGAAACCTCAATCACTATGTTTAAAAATGAAAAGTAAATATACTCTTATTTAATGTATATTATACACATATTTAGTTATTTTAATTATTTACTTTAGTTAAGTTTATTTTAAGGAGTTTTAATTTTGTTAATATCTAGGTGTGGTTTTGTTATGTAAACTATAATTTTGTTTCATAGTTAATCTATTAACATATATTTTATATTTTACAACAAAAAATCAAGCTGACATAGCCTTTTACTTGTGTTCCCTGATGGAACAATTAACGGGTTTACAGGTCATTATATTTATACATGTGTAGACCAGTTGCACTAGTGGTTACAATTCAATATAAATATCAATAAAATAGTAAAGCCATAAGCTGCGAACAAACAATGGAATATTATAGACACACCGAAATAAAGAGTTCACATGTTATGAAGAGACTACTTCTCATAACATGTGAACTCTTTATTTCAGTTGTTTGCCTGTTTGTATTTATGTTTTGTTATTTTGACGTATGTGATTATTTGTATTTAATGATTTGCTAGAGGTCTTTATGATTTATTGATTTGAATGTATTCTGATAAATGTTTTAACATTGCTAGCATGGAAATCTATATAAAAGTAATTCATTGAAAGAATGGCGATGTTATTCTGTACGGAAGCAATTCGTACTGTAATATGTTTAAACTACGAATGACTTCCGTGATGCTACAGGTTATAAAAATGAATATTCCCTTTGGAAGTTTCTTTAAAATGGTAAAATCATTGCAGTGGACTGTTTCTAAAGTGGTTTTTTTTTGTTACGTATAGCATTAAGTGGTAAAAATGGTCTAGTAGCGAGTAGGGCTCCATGGATTCCGTGTTTTCTATTTTTTCAGGATATCGATGTCATACTTAACGGGATCGGAAAATCATGCGCTCGCGTATTACCCTGGACGCAAGTAACTTTAATATATCTATTCTCATAATTTCACACACAGGATTCAATGGTTTTCTGATTTTTCTCTTAACTCGTACCAAAACAACACCTTCCTTCTGGCGAATATTGTAGGCCAATGGGGAGGATGCTATAAGTTTTGTTGTCGGAACTTTTAGTATGGGTAATAATATTTGTTAGAGGCCGTTGGCTAATGTAAAGAATAAAACGCGTGTAACCAACAGGTGTATGAAAGTCCTCAATAGCCTGCTTTTTACGTTGTTACTAGCTCCATCTCATAGGCAGCAAGAGCACAACCCAATTTTTACACATTTTGTTCAAGAGATGGTGCTACTACCGGCATTAATATCATTTATTATTCCAATAAGTAAAAAAAGTCTGTTGTTATTTTATTGTTAATACTATAATATTTTGGATATCAGATATAGCCAAGGGTATAAAGTCCTCAGTAGCTTGCTTTTACGTTGGTACTAGTGTCATCTCACAGTCATTAAAAGCACTATTTTCCCCAATATTATTACATATTTTATTAAAAAGATGGCGTCACTGCTGGCATTTATTATTTATACCTAAGCCTATTTACATTAATTGTTAATTTCTCAGAATTTCCGTTAGATACGGTAAAACTAATATTACTTTTATAATACATAGGTTATAAGGAATAAATCGATATGTATTTCATTAAGTTACGCCACAATTTGTGGTGGGTCCATTCTCCATACAAAAAGATATTTTCTCCTTTAATGCGTTGTCTGAACATGTTGGTAAAATTATCTAAGTAAAAATAATAAAGTTCGAACCAGACCAAAGTAAATAAATTGATATCTAATATTTTTTCAATTTTTTAAAAGTTGAAGTGATAAACAAACTCACAGTCCACCTCAGCTGATGGTATTTGGCAACTGCAGACTATAGACACTTGAAAACAGCTTCAAATGAAAAATACTACAGATGCGTTATCACTGCTACTCTTTAGACCCCAATACAACACACACACAACAGTGTATTAAGTAGGATGCTTTAACAGCACGTTCATGCATTACAACCAGTGTCCATAGAGATTGTTGGGATTCAAAAAAAATTATTTGAATTGTAACCACTAGTGAAGGTAGGCTGAAGAACTTCGGGTTCTTCATAACAAAAGCTACCAAGATACAACTCGTTCAAATACTTGCTTTCTTCTGCGCTACGGAGACTAGGACTTTCTAGAGGCGAATGCTATGAATCTCATGGACCGTATTTCGCATCAACATCTTTATACTCTAAAGACTCTGCATTAAACGTCTTTCAACGTTAGTCCAGAGTTGCATCTCAAAGTTTTGAGGACACGTCTCCCGGCGTGCGTCTTGTCGTGTAGGGCAAACTGGAGGGCACCAAACATCAAGGAAGGTCACAAATGCGATGGACCGACCAAATTAAGTCTGTTTGCGTAAGCGTAGTAGTGCGAGCAGGGTAAATTAGGGAATACTTGAATATGAAAAAAGATATTTACCATACAAATAAACTAGTCAATTTGTGCAGCCTTAATGTATTTAAATATTTCAGCAATGTCTTGAGCCATTTATTCCTTAAAAAGTTTATGCAAACTGACAATTGAGTACAATTTATATATATTTATTTTTTTATTCCATAATTTAATCAAATAGTTTTACTATAGGTTATAGTGCATAGACATTTAATTACTATTATAGGTTATTATCACAGTTTAAAGACCTTACAGTTATGAAACACTTGATGTCAGGCGATGCCGCCGCCCGCGTAGGTATTTACGCCGCCAGCGTGTATGCTAGGTGTTGTCACAAAAATGGGAATAAAATAATTTTGGATATTATAATATTCATTATCATTTATTAACATTATGTACATACTTATTACTTAAAAACATTTATTGAAGTAGATCATTTTTTGTTACTACAACAATAAAAACACATTTACAAGTGTTGCACTGCCTAATATTTTCGTGACACTTTCTTTTTACAGATGTTTTCAGTTTTCGATTGTTAAATTTAATTATGTAGTGTATTCGCATTCGGATAAACAATTTTATCAAAAAAAAAATGAGGGAAACATAAGCATGGCCGTCATTTGAATTCAGTTTTACTGAGTAACTCATATAACTAAACAGTAATTCACCATTATAGATATTATAGTTTTCGAAAACGTCACTTAAAATTAGTTAAATAAGTACTATAAAACACGCTCGCGCCAACCGCATCCGCATATATTGTAGAGCAGACTCAGTGAAGTGAAGTGCACTGCACTAGCACAAGGTCGGCCGCCCCTGCCCCGCAGTTCCCCCACCGTTGCTCTGATCTATGAACAAGTACATTCGTTTCCCAATAGTATGGTCTATAAACTGTGTTATTATTATATTACTTCGGTTAAAATAGCATGTAGGTGTGGCGGCGCTGTCGTCGCGCCACAAGCGAAACACATGGAAGCCTAAATCGCACTAACAAAGTTCCGAAGTTAAAGCAGCATATATAGAATAGCTCCGAACTACCAATCGGAGCGTTGGCCGCCCCCCGGGCAGAACACCTTGTCCGGCGGGAGATCTCCCCTTTTCCTTCCTACGGCCACAGTCGCTGTCGTCGCGCCACATAGGTATAGCTTTTGTTTTATTCAAAATATTTTATTCATTTGACTATTTATTGTGTTAACATCACCTACAACATCTAACATTTGTAAAATATACATTCTCTGTGTGATAAATCAATTCTGTGAAATTGCAGTTCAATAACATTCAGCTTTAACTTTTTGGCAAGATAATGGTAGTGGGGTCAGAATCTATACAAATCAATAGAATCTACTAATTCATTTGGTAGTCGACACGACTTTTGAGAACTGGATAATAAATATCATTAGGATTTGTTTGCTTAGAATAATTTTTTATTTCGATTATTATATTCTATTTGTTGCATTAATTAGTGGCAAT